ACTCTTTCCAGCTTCCTATCTAATGAAGTATCATCAGAAATGAAGGAAAATTACAAAATGGTTAAATAGATGCATTTATCTGTTGGTAGATTTCCTGTGTACACACGATTCCATATAGGGGCTACCTTGTCAATTGTAGGATTATAATGGCAGTACCATGTCCCACTTAAGAGTTATTACATATAACATTATGTTCATTTAAAAGCATAATTAGACTATAGGTTTCCTGTCAGAGATGAGAAAAACAAGAACCAGCATTGGGGACTATTGTGTTGAACCAGAGGGCTTCTACAGCTTCATTCTTTTCTGACTTTGTTTAAATGAAAGGGAAAAAAAAAAAAAAAAAAAAAAGAAAAGCATTGAAAAATTTGAATCTTCTATTGTTCTTTGAGCCGTAAAGGTGTATATGGTATATACAAAGCTATAAAGGTGGCTGGGGCACACGTGAGCTGAGGCTGAGGGAACTGGCTTTGTTGATTGCCACCAAGAGGTGGTCAAGAAGGTATCTAGGAACAACCCACAACTACTTGAAGGGCAGTTACAGAGATGACAGAGCCAAACTCTTCCCTGCAGTGGCAGATGAGACAGCAAGAGCTGCAGATTGAAGCATGGGAGGTCCCCACTGGACATCTGGAGAAGCTTCCTCCCTGGGAGGTGGGGCTGCCCAGGGGGTGCTGGAGCAACCTCTGTTATGGGCTTTAGAGACTTGGTGAGACATAGCCACAGCTGACCTGACCTGCTGGTGTCAGCGAGAGCTCTGCTTCGAGTAGCAGGCTGGACTAGATGACCTCGAGGAGTCACTTCCAGCCAATTTTGATCTGATTTTCTGATCCTGTAAATAAGAGGGTGATAATGTATAGATGTAGTTAACACTGTAGTGTTAAGTAGCAAAATCTTTTCAGAAGACTTGAATAATGGCTCAATTAGCTCAGCACGCAAATGTTCAATGGTGTTCAAACTGGAAGAAGACTACAGCAAAATGTCTTTATCATACTTGCAGGAGCATATTTATCATCTGTTACCATGAATGTTTTCCTAGCTGCTTATAAATCTTTCTTATTAAGTTTTAACTAATTAGAAGTCATTGCACATTCTGCTCTTTCATTATGGAATTCCATATTCGTTCCTTGTTTTCTTTTGATCTGTTGTCTTTGTAAGGGAAATTTATCTATTCTATTTTGAAATATGGAGATTTCGTTCCCCAGTTTTGTTTTGGTAGTTGATCAACTCATTATTAAATTCATCAGGCTGCTCAAAATTATCAGATGTATTACCATGATGCTTTTTAAATTGTTCAATAATTTTCTGTTTCATCACATATTTAATAACAATTTTTCATAATGCTTAAATATTGGTAAATTATTCTCAATTTCCAGTATTTTTTCTTATTCTTAATTAGCAGCTTTTTTGACAAGAGTCATAATTTCTTAATCAGTAGAATATATGGTAGAATGGTATCATGGACATTCATTTTTATATTCTAATATTTGCACTGTATACTTCCTCTTGCAATTTGTTTGGTATCATTTAGCAGGAAAAGCTCACTTGTTTTAAGTTATATGGGCTAATAGGGTTCTGCTGTGCATATTTAGCCCATGTTTAGCATTTTAGGTATAGTTTAGCCTTTTAAAGCCTACAGGTCTTGCTCTCCTGTCACAGCTTCTTGCAGCACATGATCTCACTTGAAAATTACATGTTTTGTACTTATTTTTGTTTTATGATGTATCAGTACTATATGGTATAATAATAATAATTCCTCTCTCTTATGGAGAAGATATTTGTATTAAAAAATAGAATTCATGAACTGAGCCAAAGCCACACGCAAATCGTGTATGTAGAAACTGCATGTTATAATTGTCTTTTATAGAATTGCTTAATTTCTTCAGGGTATCAGATAATCGATAAATAGGTGTTCTTATATTTATATGAAGTTTGTAGGTATTAGAGTCAATTTCCCTGCTTTCAAATTGCTCAGTCAAAAGTTAGGTGATAGTTTGTAGCCTTTTCATTTTACAGTTGACTTAGCTCACTATTTCGTACTGATATGTTTTATTTATATTGTGTATACCCCAGTTTTTAATTTCAGCATTATCATAACTTGGAAGATTTTGAGAGAATTTCTTTCTTTAGAAGCATAAAACTGTATAAAGTGTTGATAATATACTTGTATGCTCTAATTAGTTTTGACAAATCCTAATTAGAACAGACATAAGTGAAAAAGCACTCATGAAAGAGCTCATTACTGTTTTATTAGTGTATTGTAAGACTGTGGAGAAGGGGATAAGGACTCTTATATGCCTGCAAACTGTCAAATGCACTGCTCTGTGAATGACAAGAAAAGTGAAAAACAAACTGGATGTCTGATTTAAGTACTTGTGAGCAAATTTCTTGTTCTGATATCACAGTGCTGCAGAAGGTGTTGTTTACTGAATATGAAATGAATACTTGACTTGAATCTCATTTATGGAAACGCTACTTTCCCCTGAACTGGCAAAGTGAGATAGGACAATATTGCAATTTTCTCACTTTCCATTGTGTTTGCACAATGTGAATGACATCACATGATCCTGGACACTGATGGCACGACTGTCTTGGGTTTTACCTAAAACGAAAAATACAGTAGCCTTGAGCCTTGTTTATGTCAACACAACTGAGGTCTCATAAAAATAAAGTAACACATAACTTGTCTGTACTCAGTCACGTCCCTTGAGAGCCATATCCATCAGGCTGTATCCCTGAGTTTAAGACAGCCCTGTGCTTTTAACCCACAGAGCAGTACTAATGGGAACACTGTATGCATGACTACAGGACTGAAAAGCAGGGTGCTTATCAGTTCCACAGTTTCCACCTATAGTAACATTTCTGTTTTTCTTTTTTCTCCAGTTAATTTCTACTCTTTCCACCTCTGATCATCTTTCCTCTAAACCACCTGCTGTCCACTTAATTTCTCCAACTAATCAGAAAGTAGTGTGTGGTGCCATGGTTAACCTGAATCAAGCCTCTTCGCTGGAAGACTCCCGTAACAACTGGCAGTCAGCAACCGGGTTTTCTAAGCAAGATTCATCTCTCTACTTTCAGTCTGCTTCCCATAGTTCACCCCGCTCCATGTCTAAAATATCTTCTTCTGCATCAAATAGTTGTTACTCCACTCCTCGATTGTATGAGAACCTACAAACACCAAGTCTCTATACCCCTGTCTGTGTTTGCAAAATGGGAGACTTTACCACATCCTCTGTTCCAGCAAAGAGCCCAAGCCTGTACCCTGATCCTCCACGTTCAGCTGAAATTCAAGGATCTTCAGCTCAGCCTTTATCCCCCAGTTCTTCCAAAAGATCAAATGCTTTATCTCCTGTCCCTGTACATATAATAACACATCCATTGTCTCCTAGCCCTAAACCTTTGTCTCCACCCTCTCTTTACGG